GCGGGTATTCAAATATAGGGCGAGTGGTGGCTCGATAAGGAGGCCTGGAGGAGGGAGATAGGGCCCGGCTGGGCGTCCACTGATAGGGGGGCCTAGCCCCCCTTACCGTCCCCCCCACCATCTCAGCCAAACACCTCAAATTAAATCAAGATCCTGCGATCCCACGATAACGCCTCTCACTCCCTCGTCTTACAGATATTCCTCATCTTAGCATTTATCTACAATTTATTCACCCTCTCTCTCTCTCTCTCTCTCTCTCTCTCTCTCCTCCCCTTTAATAGAGTTAATAATCCCTAGATTAATTGAAAATATAATTCTACTCCTGAGATCTTTATTTATATTATTATATACCTCGAGAAAGGTGGGGGAGGGGTGGAAAGCAATTTTTAAATTAAAAGTCCCCTTCTATATCGCCCTCCTCTCACTTAATACTCACATCTCACTGTCGGCAGTTTTATTATATTTCTCATTCGAGTAACCGAATCCGAATTGTGCTTTATTCATACTTTACATACTTTCAGATGCTATCCTTTAACTTCTTTAAACGATTTGAAACCTTGGTTAGTTGATTGTTGGGAAATAAAGGTGTAATATAGGTGTTCATAAATACATACAAATATTTATTCATAATTATGTTTATGAATAAATATTAGGTTTTGCACAATTAAAATAAATAACAACATAAAAATTATCATTATAATAAATAAAACCTCTCTGAATAGTTAGAAGAAGCAGACAGAGATCAATCTGACAAGGAGGCTTAGCATCTCAAAAGAAAAGACAAAGTTGATGACGAATGAAAACCATGAACAGCAATTCCGTGAAACAATGATTGGCCAGTTTGTGAGAGTAAAATTGTTCAAATATCTTGGTGAAACCATACCACAGAACGGACCAGGAAATTTCAAAAATAGGGAGAGCTATAACATCTATGTTGATGATGGGCTAACTAATTAGATCTACAATAAAAAGTGCATCTCCTAGAAAGGCAGCTGTATGCCTATCGATGAACTACAATTTCAAAATGCTAGATATACTAGAAAGAAGAATATCATAGTGAAAATCATGTCCGGAAAAGGTTGAAACGGCTGAACAGTTGGAACAACCATGAAATTTAAAAAAAAATGGGGAGACGATCTCGGAGACCATGAGGAAGAGAGGGTTATCATTTCTCGGAATCTTGCATGAAATGAAAAAAAAAAAAAAACAGAATAAGGATTTTCGACTGCCAGTAGAACAAGAAGACAACAATATTTGAGGTCTGGAAGGGTATTAAGTCGAGAGAACTCTGAGGACTAGACGGGCCTGGACGGATGAACGGAAGCAGCGGCAAAGCTTCCTCATAAAGGAGAAAGTTGATATCAAAGAAGAACTGAAATTTTAGTGTGATCTATGTGGTAAATTCGCAAATAAAAAATAAAATGAAAACATTATATTGAATTAAACGGTTGTGTGGGGAAAGAAAAACGATAAAACAATTGAAGCATTTAGGAGAATTTGTAATTTTAATTGAGGCAATAGGAAATTCATAAGGATTAGAGAAGAAAAATTAGTTAGATTGAGATTCGCGACTAAAAGTATATATCACCGAATAATTTATTTGTCTTGTGTGGCAAAATTCCGCACTACCAGACTGCAGTGAAACCGGTGATATTGTCCAGAGTGGAAAAAATATGGATCAAAAATATAAAAGGGGTTCTTGAAAAGGAAAGGAAAATCTTTAATAGATAGAGGAAATAATAATAAAACATATAGGGGTCTATGAAAATAATGAAGTTTGCAGAACAAGGAAACATCAAACAGAAAAATAAGAATGAAATTTAATGGACATATCGTTAGATTGGATAATAATTGACTAAATCAGAAAATATTTGATAAAGTGGTAGTTCTCAAGAACATACAGCGGTATCAGGAACGCATTAAGAACTAAATATCAAAATAGAGTAAAATAAGCAAGGGATCTTTGGATAGGGTATAATTCCTTTGGCTAACGGGTTAGCCAAGTGAGGGTCCTTACAATGGAAAGGATAGGGTCGGAAGAGAAGAATGCACATCTCTCCAAGAAGGCGAGAGAGGCGTGAAGAACAAGAGAATTCTTAAAACACTAAGAGATATATGCCTGGCCAGGAATTGTACCACTTGGTACCAGGGCTTATACCACAAAAAAAACACACACACAAAAAATCATTAAACAAAACGATTAACGAAAATTAAAATATATAAATAGAATGAGAATAAAGCATAAAGTTAAAAAAAGACAAAATTTTAGATATATTAAAAAATCCATTTTTCGGAATTAAAAGATATTACCATATTCATGACGATATATTTGCAGATATTCCGTATCCAACTTAGTTTTGTTATGTCAAAAAATTCAACCCTCAAAAATATAGGCTATATTCGTTCTTTATACTTCTATAGTTATTAAGTGAAGGTGCATCAGCCTAGTATGCCCTATATTGTGCTACACAAATAAATTGTTTTCCCATAGATGAATGAGGTAATAGCTCAAATATTTTTAAGTCCAAGATTCCTCAAATTTACTAATTTTTGTGACTAAAACACCTATGAATTATCAGAATATGTTTTAACATTATACTTCTCGTTATCTTTCAATATCGTACTGTTTTCAATGAAACAAGACATGGGATTCTTAATGGTCGGTTTATTGCAAAATCTCACTTAGTACATTTTTTTATTTACCTAAACATTCGAATGCATTTGTGAACACCGATCATATTTATTGATGCAAAAACTCATGAAGTGCAACAAATTAACACAAACCCTATAATAGAGCAGAGAGGTATTCATATATAACTTATTACTTAGGTTCAGATTACTGAGGATGTTCGGCACAACTATTAACAAAAAAAGGTTGAAAACCAATAAAGTTACCACATTATTAATAGATAAATTGGAAGAAGATAATCCGGAAGGATACAACTGATTCGGAGGGGAGTAATTTATCCGAACGGGAGTAGTACATTGAGGAAGAGTTGTACAATTGAGGAGACAGGTAAAGTGGCCTCTCCCGGACTACCGGATTTCTCTGTTCCTTATCAGGCAGGGACGATAGCCAAGCTTCACATCCTTAGCATAAATGTAGTACGTGGTTACAGCTCAGACCCCATTTGATGCCTTAAGATCAGTGGTAATCTACGTCCTCAAGAAATGAAATGAATTACTTCAGTAAGCAAGACAATTTACCACGGTTCAAACATTTTATTTAAAGATGGAATGCGGTAGTAGGGCTGGCTCACCTTATCCGAGTAAGAAGACCAAATAGTGTATAAGGATGAACACCGGATGATGAAGCTGACTCAGAGAGTATTCAATAAGAGGAGGGTCAGACAATATGGAGCATTATCATAAGAAGCTTCGATTGTTGTTCTCAATATTTCAATAAATCGTTCTCAATTATATGCCATTATATGATACCATCGTCTGTTTGCTTTCGTATTGTTTTAATTTTGTTGGGTGTAAAAAAAATATTTAATTTCAACCAATATTATTTATTTCTATCACTTTACACATGCCCTCTCACAAATATATAAATATAATAGGGTGTATGAAAAAAAAAAATGACCGTTTATTTGTATTACTATTTCTTTGATATAAAATACAACTAATACTCAAAGTATATTCCATTGTTATCTACTATCATTAGTCATCCGATAGCTAATTGCTCGATCCCACGCTGATACCATTCTTTGGGATGGCTGTCAATGAACTCTTGGATTGCAATTTCAACTTCCGCAAAATAATCAATTTTTTTATCTTGAAGAAAATGTGCCATGGATCTAAATAAGTAGTAATCCGATGGTGGGATGTCTGGACTATATGGTGGACGAGGATGGAATCTCATATCAGAAGGGTTGTTCAATAAAATTTCACAAATTTCTAACCTCTTAGCTGATTGCTGGGGAGTAAGTTCGTGAGGGGCCAGTTTACTGCTCTTTTTCATCTTCCCCATGGAGAGTAGATGGCGCCTAACAAAATCTTTCCACACAAGACACTCCCTGGCAAGTTCTCTAGTACTCGTGGACGGATTTGACTCAACAGCTTCCAGCAGAACCTCATCAATATCCATAAATGGTCGATCGGAGTCCTTCTTCCTTCCCAATGTTGTTTATCCATTGCTAGATTTTTCAAACCAACGCCGCGTAGTGCGCTGGTCAAGGACACTTTCTTCTTCATATTTCATAATTTCACGAGTGTGAAATATTTTTTTCCAGTAATGCCTTAAAATTATGACAATTTTTTAAGACACTGTCATGATTCTTCTCCGAAACAAATAATTAAACTAAGGCTTTTTTTTATGAAGAAGTCGAATAGGATTAAACAAGCTTAGAGAATGCTCTAAAGGGATTATTAAGTATTGGTAAGTATTAAATAGGATTCAAATAATTACAGTCCTTTGAAGTTTTGAATTTGATAATACGGTCATTTTTTTTTACACCCTATTATTAACATGTCAGGCGAGAGAAAATTACTGAACTTCTCGGATCAGGTAACAATGCTTGTAAATCTTCTAAGAAAATTACTGAAAATGTCTTGATAGTCTGGCTTCTTCGGTTAGAAATTTGTTTCTTGTTCCCTTCGTACCTTTTTTCTGTTGTTAAATATTAAGAACAATTCTTTCCAATGGTGCAAAATTTTTTTTCTCAGTAGGAGAGTGATATTATAAACTAATTTTATGAAATGTTATTTGATAAAATTTGGAAATAAAATTACGATATACTCATTTACATCGGATATGTTTTAACAGGAAATATAAAGAAAGATTCCTAAGAGAGCTTCAGGTCAGACATCAATTTACTGACTACTCCTGAGCTCTGTGGAACGAGATGTAATTAGCAGGCTGGTATTCTCGACTTTTTTTTATTTTTTCAAAGTTTGCCGTGAGGCCAATACGGCCGTGAGGGACCGGGTAGATAATAGAGATGACGCTAGGATCATTATTGAAGAGATAGCAACGAGAATGCATACCAGTCACCGCGATGAAGGTTACTGATTGCGCTTCAGGGGACTTATTCCTCTCCGCTCTGTGTCATGTTGTATCTCCGACAGCCCCTCTAAGGTTGGGTAACACTGATATTCCCGGTTGGTAATACTGATATTCCCGTTTGGTAAGCCTGATATTCCCGGGATGTGTGCCTACGTGGCGGTTAGTACGGTGATAACATCGTTTAGGAATCAGATGATTCATCTTCACTCTAGATAAGGTCTAGTCAGTATATTGTGGCTCTGTCAAGGTAATGATTCATATCTGGTTAGATAAAGCAAAAAATATAAAACACTATCTATGTTGTTTCATTGTGTTGTTGTCCATCTTTTTATTTCTACTTGTTGTACATAAAGCCCAGCTCAAAATGATTATTATTATTAACTAGTTCTAAAATGTCAACCTGCATTAATAATAATAGTAATGTACAATTATAATATCGACAAATGGTCTGATTCCAAAGTCAATGGTGGCTGGAACGGATAGCTTGGTATTGAATCTTAATGTGCTTAGAAAGGCTAGGCAAGCAGTTCTCTTAGACACAGACAGAATAGTTAGCTTTTTAATATTTGAGAAAAACAATGTATACCTGTAAGTGGTTGGATTTGTCCCCCACCTTCAGTTTCGAATCCTCAAATGTGATAATAAACAGGATAATAATAATAATCTTATATAATGAAAAACATCACTTGCAAATTATAAACTATCAACCTGACAATTGTAAAACTGACCAATAGTCAAACGTAAGCGAATGACAAGCGCAAAAAAAGCCTTTTCCCCCCAAAGGTATTGAAATATTGAAAAATCTCTAGAAATATAAAATGAAGGGTGTACTATGATGTTAGGCTCCGACAGCTGGACACTAATTAGCATCCTAGAAAAAGATACAGAAATATTAAAGAGAAAAATCCTTCGCACTAGTACTAAAGATTACTAATGATCTGCTTAAAGTAACTGGTCAATCAATATCTCATGACATGAAAGCAAGGAGATTAAGATTCAAGCAACATGTACCTTGTAGCAATCCATCAGGAAGTCTCGACACAACAATCAATGTCTCAACAGTAGGCAAAAGGACCACGTGAGAGGCTTAGCGGCAGATTGATAGATCTAATTATTAAAAATGCTACAGAGTTGCATGAGGAAAACTGGAAAGCAACAGCCCAAGGTAGGAAGAGATGGAGAAGGATTGTTAGGGTCGGCAAAGAGTCAACATACAGAGAACTGTTCAGGAAATATTACAAGATACCGAGCGAGATGTGGAAATCTTGATGATTTTTTTTTTTTTTAAAGAAATGGGATCCTACGATAGAATACAAAAGATCGGAGTGAAGAAAGAATTGCCAATGATCCTATCGGATATAGCCGATTCAATTAATAAATAAATAATTTTTAATTATTAGAAAAACTGATAAATAAAGGATTTTGTGAGAGGCTGTACAAGATACTATCAAAAACAGAGGCACAAATAATAAGCGGTATATTCATAGTTTTCTTTGTGGATGTATTTTTCATGAAAAAATTGACATCTTAATGTAGAAGAATTTAGATTAAGAATTAAAATTTCATCAATTTCATGATGTTGTGTTATGGTATAAAGAACACACGTTTCTAGGCGTGATATGCAGCAGAAATTTCGCACAGGATGTACTAGATAGGGGCATCGAAGATAAAAATACTACTCAAAAAATCAGAAGCATCAAATACAATCTAATAATATCGATCGAAATATAATAAAAAAACATCTGGTGCGCGCGACACACAACTTTCACTTACCGCTCTACTTTGAATAGAAATTATTTTCTGGCAATGCAGGCCTATTATAAATTTTTTTGAAGTGCATTTTAAATGGAGCTAAAGCTTAAATCATACAGATAACAAGTCACTAAGACCATCATAATTACAAAATTTCTATTTAATATATCGTCGGTAGGCAATAAAAATCTAGTCACTCCATCTGCTTTTATGAACCACACAACTTTCTTTGCTTTTATAAACCACAGAATGACTAACTCCAATTTCAACATTTTTGAGTAATATCATTTTAGTGATGTTTTTAGTTGAAAAAGTTATCTATGCAGACAGTGAGCAAGTTGATTCCGGAGGTGGTGATTGCAGTGTTGAAATATTTTTTTATTTATTTATGACATTTACAACTGTATTACATAAATACATCAAGTAAATTTGGACATAATTGATATAATGACACGAATACACTTGCTGAGTAACTACACAATGGTAGCACTCTAATGATATGACTACATTAGGAGATCACGGGGCCATCTTTTCAGACGCCTCGGAGGGTTATCAGGAATTGAAGAGGAAGCAAGGTTAGAAACGAGAGGGTTGGGATGATTCTGAAGTTTATTAAGGAAGGATAGGTATCTGGACGGTAAGAGGATGTGTATTCTGGTGGTTTTTTGGGTTTGTGGATCATTTTAACAATAGATCGTTTCCAAGGATCAGGAAAATATCTGGAACGGAGTACAGCATTATATATGTAAGTAAGGAATGGGATGGATTTTCGAGGAAGAAGTTTTAGGATCTTGGATGTAATTAGTTCATGTCCAGGAGCTTTACGGGAAGGTAATTTTTGAATGATGTTGAGTATTTCTAAGGGATGAAATGCTTTGGGTGGCAGAGACATTTGGAGAGGAATATCCAGTTCTGCTTCAATACAATTGATGTGAGTTGAATTAAGGATATTGGGATGTGGGGTGTTGAAATATAGAACTGTGAATAAAGGTATACATTTAGGTACTTATTTCTTATGAATGATGTTCTTAGGAAAGATACTTTATTAAATATCTGTAGAAATAAGTTTTTTTAGTCTCAACAATTAAAAAAGTATATTTTATATTTATCCAAATTTTCGCCTCTTCAGGGATAAAATCGGTTTTTACAATATATTTTGAATTTTCATCTGAAAAAAAATATAAAAAATCCTTTCAGAAGACATATACTTCAGAAATTATTTCACAATGGTTTATTATTTCCAAACAATCATACAACTAAAGTATATATTACATATATACCTAAGTGAAAGTAATATAGAAGTATTAAATATCCTGTGTGCTAAGTTTCCATTATCCTACACTTACATGTCCCAGATACTGTTATGCCATTTTCAACATTATAATTTGCTGAAGTTTATTATCATAATTGGGCACAATGTTGGTAAATAGATACTGGTATCAGCTGTATATTGAACACCATATGTCTCGAACCATTTCTGTGTTAAAAGGCCCATAGTATGAGTGAGAAAGACAATGAGAATTAAAGGTAAAGAGTCAATACAGGATCCCGTGACTTCCCTCGTAAACTGGCTCCCGGTTTGGAATTGCCTTCGGATAATGGAAATCTCTCGGGAATAGCGGCCGGTCTGCACCTTCTAACCCAGTTCTACTTTACTAACGTTTTTACATTTTTTTTTTTACAAGAGAAACCGGTTGTGAGAGCTGCTTGCCGCCAAACTTAGCATTTGTCGCCATAGATTAAAGATAATACGTATTATAATTAACATAGCTTGGTCATTAGGCCTCCATCTTTAGGGCGATATCAGCTCCGATAACGAAATCGCCAAGCCCTACTGCTCTGATTTTCTGAATAATACTTTTCGGGTTTCTAAATAAAGGAATATGTCCTTGTAATATTTTTCAATAAATAAGTTTAAAAAAAAATAAATATTTTTTTACTTTAATGAAATATACAACTGCATTACATGGAAAATATAACAAGTAAATGTGGCATTGGTAACACGACATGTACAACATGAAGAGAAACTACCCATTGGTAGAACTCAAATTAAAGTTCTATATTAGAAGGTCCCGAGGCCATCTTTTTTTCAGACGCCTCGGGTTTATCAGGGATCGAGGAGGAAGCAAATTTGAAACGAGAGGATTCGGATGACTCTGCAGTTTGTTATGTAAGGATAGGTATCTGGATCGGGCCAGATCTGAAACATAAGGAACATTAAGATCTTTATGGATGATTTTATTTGTGACAAAGTAAGGAGCGTTGAGGATTTTACGAAGGATTTTGGATTGTAAGGATTGGATACGAGAGGAATTCGATGGTTTAGTGGAACCCCAAAGCTCAATTCCGTAAGTCCAAATAGGTCTTATCATATATGAGTCGTTTATAATTGGTTGAAAGCTTAGAGCGTTTGTTTAGTAAGTGCTGCAGTAGTCGAAAACGTCGGGCGGTTTTTAGTCGTTTCAGTCTGGTATGGGGGTAAAAAAAAAAAAAAGGAATAAAGGAAAAGTATAATTGTTATGCAGAAGAACCATTTCAATGCGTGGTATTTTTTCTTAAAAATGGCCACACAGAGCAATCTATAATCAATGAAAAAGAAAACAACAGTCGCAAACTATAGAACATGGAATAATTTCAGCTTTATTCTATTTAAATTTAACTAATTCAACTGGATTATTACGTGAACACTGCTAGATTTATTTATTTTTTAACTTAGGATGTTTATATCTCAAATTGTGGTCACTACTCAACTAGTTTCATCAGGATATTCGACTGTGTTTTTTAATGAATTTTAAAAATTGTAAAACGGGGAATTTACAGAGAAATGAGATAGAAGATTCTTACCTACCATTAGTGACATTAAACTGAAAAATTACAGAAGTAGGTCATATTAATTTGCTTTAATTTTTTTTTTAATGTCAACCAAAGCTTAGGGACGATACCCAGAGGATTAAAGGGTATTCTGAATCCAACCTACCAAATAAACTTGCTGTTAGATAGGAAATAATAATTCATTTACTGCCACTGTCTGACAGTAGAAAAGGTTTTTTATTTGAAGCTTAAATTTTAACTAACCTTGGACTCCACTTGACCATACGTCGAACTTGGATTTCTCATACCACACTTAAACGACAGTACTCGATATTTCCGATTACTCCAGCATTTACAAAACAAACGCTCTAACCTTTCACTTAATTACAAAACACTCATATATATAACTACATTACGACCAATTTGTGCATAGGGAGTTGAGATTTGGGGCTCCACTAAGCCATCGAATTCTTCACGTACCCAATTCTTACATTCCAAATTCCTTCGTAAAATCCTCAATGCTGCTTACTTTGTCACTAATAAAATTATCCCTAAATACTTTGATGTTTTATCAAATTTTATCGTTTAATCAAAATTGTTAGAGCCGGTTTTGAGAAAATTGTAAAAGTGTATTTCACCGTTGATATAAAGTCGCACTTCCGGATAGCCAATTTTAAGGGAAAAGTTGTCACATCAAAGGCATACACCTAACAGTTTCGTACGATTTTTCGTTTTTGAGAAAAATTGTTCACATACACAGATACACACACACACACACACACACACACACACACACACACACACACACACACACACACACACACACACACACACACACACACACACAGACCATTTTGCGGGACTTGCTTATTTGGATCTCAAAACGTGTATTTCCGTTGAAAACTCAGATTCGAAAATTTTCACGATCGCAATTCTTTTCCTTAATATATATAACATATATAGGTAAGTGAAAGTAAATAAATACTTGTAGAAAAAAAGAAGTGTTATTTGGATAAAAAAATTATTTTGAATATTCATGATTAAAATAAACAAAAATTAACAAAATCAGTTTGCACTGGAAAACATATTGTAATTAATAGAACAGACTGTTGCACAAATTGATTCATTGATTTTTAAAAAATTATAATTTTAATTTTGTAAAATTCTTATTACTAGTGAGGTGGAAATTATTCTAATTTATTTCATTCATTATCATATGATAGTATGACTGGCGTTTATAAATTATATGAACAAAAAGTCTATGCTTCCTTAAAATTTATTGACATCCACGTCTTACCCTTCAACAATAACTAATTCAAGAAGCTACTTTAAAACTACACCGAACTACTTTAAAGTTTAGGAGGGAAATCGAAACTATAAAAACCTGGCTGAAATTCAACAGAACAAACAAGCATTTGAATAAAGCAAAAAATCGTATAAAACTAACCTCATAAAAATGTAGTACAAATTTTACCTTTCCATATCTGTCTGTGCCCAGGAAGTAAAAAGCATCATGTACATTTTTTCATTAAATGATTTAGTAATGAAAAAATAAATTTTAATATCTAAAAGTTATGGAAAATTGGCACCCTGGACAAATACAAAAATGTGATATAGTGTCTTTTACCTCCGGAGTGATACAATTAAGATATAAGTTCACTGCTTTAAGATATTGTAAAAACAAAATCGTTTGTCTAAGTAACAAA